GAACACGAGCCACAGTCACAGTGTGTGTGTGTGTGTGTGTGTGTGTGTGTGTGTGTGTTCTCCCCCACCTCGGTGATGTAAACATGACTGTACAGAATTAAAGCTACGTTCTGTTGTTGATTATCTCTTGATTGCACTGATTTGCAGTAACAGCGATGATGAGAGTCCTATAGTGTGTTAGCATGTTAGCATGTTAGCATGTTAGCACTTTTTAGACTGTCCCACTGACAGACTGAAGGAGGGAAAAAAACAGTTTTTATAGAATGCAGTGGCCATAAATTCTACTTTTATAGAATGCAGTGGCCATAAATTCAGCTTCTATATTCTATGGTTCATATTTACGTTTCAGTTTCTGGAAACAGACAGAAATGTATAAAAATGTTCCAATGATCCAGAGACGTTTGTCCCAACGTTACAACTTCTGTTTGGTCTCTCTCTTCTTGGAGCTCTTCTTGGAGCTGCGTCTTTCTTTCCTTCTTTCCTTCATTCCTTCCTTCATTCCTTCTTTCTTTCCTTCTTCCTTCCTTTCTTCCTTTCTTTCTTTCTTCCTTCCTTCCTTCTTTCTTTCCTTCTTCCTTCCTTCCTTCCTTCCTTTCTTTCTTTCTTTCTTCCTTCCTTCCTTCCTTCCCTCCTCCCTCCCTTCCTCCCTTCCTTCCTTCCTCCCTCCTTCCTTCCTTCCTTCCCTCCGTCCTTCCTTCTCCTGCTGGACTGACTTGCTGAAGTGTTGGAGACATCTCTGTGAACACTCTGACTATTATGGTTAATTTATGATGAAGCTCTGCTTCTCCTACTGGAACCACTCACTCCCTCCTTCCTTCCTTCAGCCGTGGAGCCCAGGCCCTCAGTGAAGACAGAAGGAGGGTACAGTCTATAAATAGAAAACGGACCAATTATAAAGAAGATGCTCCGATGTGTGATGGGTGCATGCAGTATCTGGGGTTCTTCTTCTCCACTGTTTCAGGCCTCAGACTTTCTCCTCATCTTCATCTTCATCTTCATCTACAGTAAATACATCAGATTCTAACACCATCACTGCCTCAGACGTAGGCCTCAGACGTAGGCCACACCGTGTGTTCCTCTGGACCTGGGACTCAAACTGAGCCCACATCTTTAAATACACCCGTCCTCTCGTCCACTGCTGTCCCTGCGTCACACTCTGGTTCAGTTTATACATAGAACTCTTGTTGTTGTCCTCACTGTTCGTGTTGATCTGAAATGTGTCGTAATTGGACCGTTTACACCCGGGTTAAAAAATGTATTTTTAATAACAGCAACGAGTCATTATTTAGAGTTAGATTAAAACAAAACTTTTTTGTTCTCTTAATTTCCCAAAGTGAACTCCAGGGGGATTGATAATAAAAGTTCTATCTCTCTATCCATCCATCATCCATCCATCCATTCATCTTCCATCCATCCATCCATCCATCCATCCATCTATTCATCCATCCATCCATTTTCCATCCATCCATCATCATCTATCATCATCCATTATCTATCCACCCATCCATCTTCCATCATCCATATATCTATCCATCCATCATCCATCCATCCATCTATCCATCCATCTATCTATCCATCCATCCATCCATCATCCATCTATCCATCCATCCATCCATCTATCCATCCATCTATCTATCCATCCATCCATCCATTTTCCATCCATCCATCCATCCATCCATCCATCTATCTATCTATCCAGCCATCTATTTATCCATCATTATTCATCCATCCATCATCCATCTATCCATCCATCCATCCATCCATTCATCTATCCATTTCTATCTATCTATCTATCTATCTATCCATCCATCCATCTATTTATCTATCCACCCATCCATCTTCCATCATCCATATATCTATCCATCCATCCATCCATCCATCATCTCAGAATCTGAATTCCTTCATAATCTTTTGATTCACTCAGATCTAATGAACTCGTTTAACACTTCAATCTTTCAGTGATTTGAAGGGAAATTCTCTTCAGTTTTTTTTCTATTGTTATCCCTGTAATCTTGGTTCAACCAATCAGTGTCTGTAAACAAAGACTAACACTGAGGCTGCACAGAGAATCCTAGTAGAAATAACAGGTGATTTTCCTGTCAAAAAAACACAGTCGTCGGCATAAAGAGTGACTGTAATAAACTGTGCTGCTGTTCATTTTCTAACATTTTCTTTTTCTTTATCTCCTGGTCCGTCGTCTCCGTCGCTGTCAGCGAACTGATGGCAGTCTGAGCCAATATTATCACCTCAGATGTGGCCATCGTCTGGTTGAGCAGGACTGATGTGCTGCTGCACCCGAGCAAAGGCTCGATCCATGCTAACTACGTTAGCGCGGTAATTCTCCTGCTCTCCAGCGGCCAAATGTTTTGCCTCTCTGTCTCCGTTTCTGTTTCTCTTTTTCTCTTCCTTTCACCTGTTTCCCTCCGTCAACATCTGTCAAATGTACGACAGCTGAGCTGAAAATACACAGAACCACCACCAGGGCTGGACACTGTTCAGAACCTTCTGTGGTTCGTCAGTAGAACTCCAGGATGTGTTCGACTGCAGTGATGCTGCCCCAAGCTTTGGTTGTTTTTTTTAAATAATGTTACAAAATTGCAGTACAAAATAGAGCCAGTAGGTGGGAGTAATGAAACCCCGAGTCTGTCGGGGGAGGGGGCCGTTAAAAGTCAAAGAAATGAAAGTATGTCACAGGGTTAGTGACATCCATTTGGGTCGAGCCTGAGAGGAGATTATACGTATTCAATCGTGGAGTGAAAACCCGTTTCTGTCCCATAATCTCTGGGTTATTTACACTGAGTCTGTCGGTGTTGGAGTCTCCAAATGTATGGATATGGTTGATAATTGGGCACAATTAAACACACACACAGAGAGAGAGAGAGAGAGAGAGAGCGGCCTGCTGGGATTAGCTGTTCACTCAGACGTGTCTGTCACTACGTCCGATCCTTCTATTCAGTGGACGACCGCCAGACTCTGAATCTAAATGACTTGTTCTTGTGGAGAATTTAATTTATGTAAATCTACCGCGTTGCACTGGAACTCGTGGAACAGGGCTTTCAAACTGGGTTCCACAACTCGCACGGCAAAAAAAAAAACGTGCACAGAATACGAAAGAGAACTTTAGATTCTGTGAATCCACATATTTCTGTCCGGTCTTTCATTAGCAGCTACACCTGCTGTAGCTGTCGCAGGTCGTAGGTCAGCCGTCACGCCGCCGTCATGTCTGCATTTCCCAAAATGACTCAGTGGAGCTGATGTGAAAGTTTGTGAGGAATGACACAGTTCCACTCGTCTGGCAGCTCCACTGAGGCACAGACTCATTCAAGCGTGAAGGCGGAGGCCGTCTGCCACCGCAGCTACCTGTTAAACATTAATGACTTCTTAGGTGGATATGAATGGCTGAACGAGTGCTGCGCTGTGATCACCGCTTGTTACAAAAACCACACTCTGGTTGTGAGTTCGATTCCCACACCAGAAATGGTTAGAAATAAGGCTGAATAAAATTAAAACAACAACAGAGAACTTGATCACGACACCAGGCTGTGTACAGCCCACAGACAACCACCGCCACACCACAGCTCTACACATCTGAAAACTGCAACAAAAAAAAAAAAAAATTACCAGTGATGACTCGATCAGATACTCAGGGATGGTATCAGTCCGATTTCTGTCAAACTTTCAGGATCGAACATCAAAAAACAAACAAAAAACGACAGCACGTCCGATCCGATACCGAAGCCCAACCAGCCGTAAACAAGAACACCGTCGCCTCGGTAACAGCAGCCCGCGGCATATGTTAGAGGAGGAAAGAAGGTATCGGATTGATATCGGGATATCGGCAGAAACTCCAAATTATAGCATTGGTTTAGATGTAAGAAAATATGAATACACTGAAATATCGCGATATTTTCTTTCACGATACCGTATCGATATTCTACAACACGGTATCAATTTTGTATGAACTTTTTTCTTTCACGATACCGTATCGATATTATACAGCACGGTATCAAGTTTGTATGAACTTAGTCAAATATTCATCTTTGTTGCTTTTATTTCTTCTGTAGTGATTCCAAATGTAGTATTCTCAGTATCTCATCATGCTTATAGTATCACAGTATATCGCAATATATCGTATCGTTGCTCCTGTATCGTGATAAGTATCGTATCGCCCGATCTTTATCAATACAACCCTGTTACTGCATTCAATTCAAAATCCAACTTCTTTTATTCAAATCCCTCCACAACTTCACTCCTGTTTGTTTATCCAACCTCCTTTGAATAAACACACCTTCCTCCTCCTCCTCCTTTACTTCCCCCTCCTCTTCCTCCTCTTCCTCCTCTTCCTCCTCCCTCCTCTCCACACCACCTGCCCGTCTGTCGACCACAGCTCTCAGGCCTTTTAGCTGCTCTGTGGTATGAACTCCCACAACATCTTTGCAGCGTCTCATCTCCACCTCCACCACTCTCACACCAACACTGCCATGTTTCTGGCTTTTATACTTTTACTTGAATTTTTTAATTGTAATATGCTACATATCTTAACAGTAAAACAAAGAAATACAATGTTAATATTGTTATTATTGTTATTATTAATGTTATCAATGTTTCTCATCTTGATGGAAACAAATAAATTTTCTCTAAAATAATTCCACCTCACCCTCCAACATCTCTTCCGTCTTCGCAGTAAACACGAAATGCTGTGACATTTAAATGTAACGACTTCAACATCAGGCGTTTTTTTTTTACAAATATAATTCTTTGCTTTTTTTTATGACAACTTTCTTTTATAAAAACTATTTAATTGACTGACACTGTGGGGCTTTTTGTTCTCCATGGCCTTTGAGCAGCTTATTTAAAAAAAAAAAAAAAAAAGCTCTTTTTTTTCCTTTACTTTCACTAAGTCATGACGGAACAACATTTTTTTTTTAGATCCACACAAATCATGCAGGAAAATCATTTCTCCAAAATCATTACTCCAAACACAGCCCGGCGGCGCCTACCTCCGTGAGGTGAGGGTTGGGGTTGAAGCCACACTGGTTGCACACCATGGAGCGACACTGCGTGCAGGTGTTGACGCTCGACTTGTCGTCCTGGATGCCCGTCAGGTCGGTGGTTTTGCAGACGGGACACAGTTTGCTGCTGGGCATGGGGGCGATCTGAGGCACCGAGTACGGAGACGTGGGCACGCTGCCCCTGTCGGGGGAGACGGAGGGAGACCTCCCACTCCTGCCGCCCACATCCACCTGGAGATTCCTCCTGGCCACGTGACCCTGGCCCGCTTCTCCTTGGGGGGCGGCGTGCTGGAGAGTGACGTGGGCAGCTAATCTGTCTCCCGTCCCATGACCGCTCTGGACCCCGGTTTTAGGGCCTGGGTCTAGTTGTTGTGGTCTAGTAAAAAAATAAAAACAGAAAGAGTTAGAAAAACAATCCAATTTTTAAAATTTTTTTTATCAATGGCTATAAATTTCTCTTAAAAGACTTTAAACAAATTAATATTAAAATGACTTCAATTCAACCAAATTACTCTGATCAAATATGTCCAATTACAAAGTTGAGATTTATGTAATTACAGTTGAGGACAACATTTGCGTTCTCCTGAGGAAAACATTTTTTTTTTCTACAGAAAATATCTGATAAATTTGATAAAAAATGTAGGAATTTTTTAAACACAACATTTTCAAACTTAAATCTTGTAAACTTGTAAAATCCCACAGAGGAGCTGATGATGATTTAGTGATGATTCAAATGAGTTTACTGTGATATTTGATATTCTTCCCAACACAATAAAAAACTGGATCAGAATAAAATAAAAGCCCCAGTTGTGATCGTTCGGTACGAAGTCCAAGTCTTACTCATCACTGCCACGTTTTTACGGAGCCGTCAGAAGAGCAGTGAGTCACCGAGTGACTCGACTGATTATTATGGGAACCTCGTGACGACGTGTGTTCGTGTAGTATTAAAACAACCCTGGATTTGTTGGACACTTTTTAGCAGCATCTGTGTGTGTGTGACACGATAACAACATCCGCTTCTTATCTTGTTTACATTTCTGTTTTTAAATGAGCTCCATAAACCGACGCTTCAGTACGAAGTGGTGTCTCTGTTTTGGATTAAACTCAGACAACATTAAAACAGTCATTGTTGCATCAGCTCAAATCACAGGCTCAGTATTTTATCACTTTATGTCAGAGGGAGACGCAGACATTGGTTTAAATGATGTTGTGTTGGAGTGGTTTTTCTTGTTTACGCCGTTTCTCAGACATTAGAAGTAAAATGAGTAAAAGAAAAGAGAAATGACGCTTATTCGCCTGCAGGGGGCGCTATAGAGCCACTGCCGTGCCCTTGTTTAATGAGTTGACTGCACTCCTTGGCTCTTGTGCATTAACCGGTACATACACTAAACGGAGAGATGAAGCAGGGCTAGCATCTTGTTGCTAGCAGGTGTGCTATAGCGCTCCCAGAGGCTATAGACTGTCAGTGACATTGTCACCAGTTAATTTCCCAATGACACATGTAGCGACTGAGAGTCTCAGCTTTTACATTTTAAGGAATGTAATTATAAATATATAAAAAGTGCGTTAGCATAACTTCGTCTCAGAGATAACGATGTTGGTAAAGCTAAAATCTTCAATCCAATCAAAAGTGGCGTCTCCATAATCAATTATGTTACTGAAAATTTACACTGAAAGCGATGATTAGACTAAATCAGAATTGATTGGCCGTCCGTAACTGTTCAATGTGGATTGGACGACGGGAACGGGAAGAACCTGCAGGCAGGAGGAGCCCAGTGAGAGCCAGGCTTCACATGGAAATGTATCCAGTTTCACTTTGTTACCACAGAAATGAAATCTCCACCAAATGAAATATCACTTCACAGCACAAATAAAATGCATTTACCGCCGTCCCAGCGACGCGGGGAGGAGGACAGGGCTTCGTGTTCGACAGTTGGCATTTCTACCAGATCCTGACGTAATAAAGACCTAATAAAGTGCCTACTTTGTGAAATCACTTTTTAAACTTTGACTTTCATCATCTGTATGAGAACGCGAGGACGACGTGTCTTTGAACCAAGGATAACGCCATGAAAGAAGTAAAGTAAAGTAAAGCAGTACCTTTGTCCAAGGTATATAATACACATAAGTATGGAGTATATATATATATTCAGCCTGATACAGAGTACACTGTACATCAGCATCGATAAATGGAGATACTTTTTGATTCTCACTGATTTATACGTCTGTGCAAATCTACAGTGCATCGTTCTTGTAGTTATGATGATAAATCAACATTAAAAAAAAATAGCCGAAATAAAGGGTGTTCACTTTAAAGTCTTACAATATCTTCACATCATCCTGAGGAAACCCGCCTTTGTTTTCAAAAATGGTTGAAGTTCATTTTTAATCTTCAGTTTATCTTTAGGTACACACCTTTTTTTGCGTGGATGTCAAATTATTTCTTGATTAAATGTATATATATACAGTATATCTTTGCTGTGTTCAAGTACTTTCCACAAACGTCTGTCATATATACTGTACTGTCGAAGTCGTTCTTGTCAAACGTGACGACAAACGCGTCTTCTCCAGCCTTCAGAAGTCGAGCAGTGAACGACTTTTTCTGTGCAGATGAAAAGAGACGCAAAACCGATGTAATTAATTTTTCCATTTGACAAGAGCCCGACCTTCATGACAGCTGCAGCTGGAAATGATGTCTGTGTTTTCTTCTAAACGTTCGTAATCGTTCAGCGTTGGCCAGATTAATGGGACTGTAACTAATGATCAGCTCACGTATAAATATGGGGGGGGGGAGGTTAGTATTAAATATATTTTCTTAGATAATTATTGGAAAATATTAGGGATGTCTGATATTATCTGCCTACCGATAATATCGGCCTACTGATATTAGCATAATTATGTTATATTTGTAAAAATCGTTATCGTTTTTTTCCTCCGATATTCAAAACCCGATAACGCAATGCCTGGGTTTCCTGAAATGATCTGGGCCATAAAAATAGTTTTTTGAGGGAAAAACGGCTGAAAATGAGACTGAAAGCCACTAGATGGCAGCATTGCAGCTCATCTCACATAACGACAGAGACAATGACACTGGTGGTCATCAGAGATTGGCTGATTGAGTTATTGTTAACCCCCCCCTTCCTCCCCGTGTCTTCTCTGCCAGAATACTCGGCTAGGCTACGCGGAGAGTTAGCAGGTAGGAGATGGACGATCTACGTCCTGAGACTGTAAAAAATACCCAGGACAACGTCGTTGTTGTTCTTCTGTCGGCTTCAACGCCCACGTCCAGTAAACAAACGCTCGCTACGATCATTTTTTTTGGCTTGACTTTGTGTGTTTTAAGTCAGAACACGAGCGACTGCCAGCTCTTTTCCACTGCTGTTGTCACGCAACAATATAAGAAAAGAAAAGAATAAAAAATCTCCGTAAAAAAGCGACGTTCCCACGCACATCTTTAAACTTGAGTCTAGTGTTTGGATTTATGGAGAACAAGCCGAGCTGCCAATCCCACAGAAACAAACATCAGTTCACCGCGCACGTCTGCTCCAGCGTGGAGCGCCCAGAGCAGCTTCTGCATTATTTGTACGAGCTGCAGTGTATGCTCTCTCTCCGTTCTCCACTTCCATAGCTGGAGCTAAATTAATAATGAAGACAGATTTGTACACGGCGCTGAAAGAAAATGACCACATCTATTATATTTGTGGGTTTTAATCAACTGTTTTCCTGTTTGGGTTTCTTCTTCTCTTGTTTTGATTGATGAGCCTACTTAACACAACAGGAGAAAAATGCTCTATTTGGCAGAGATTGAAATAAGAACGTCTCCTGGCAGACATCACCATGATGGACACGGTGGACGGTGTCTCGGGCTAAACAGGAAACAATAAGAAGAAGACAACAACAACAACAACAACAACAGCAGCAGCAACAACAACAGCTGTGTTACTGTTTTGTTGCTCTTATCCCAGATCAGAACCACCGACAATCAACCAATGAGTCGATCAGGATTTACCAGTCGATCGTGAAGGGAGAGCTGGTGATCATGAGAAATATATAAATATGTTTAAATATAACTCTATAGTGTGTAGCAGTGACCATATATGGTAAGAATTAAATCAGATCTTTCCAAACAGCGACATCAATTTAACCATGACCCCAAAATATTATTTATATTAGATGTCAAGCAAAAAAAACTATATTAAATCTTGATATTTAGTGAAAGATAATTTTACAAAACGTTTCCTGAACCTGAAGTGTTTGTGTCGTCAAGCGTCAAACGTGCCGGTTTTGGCCTGTGGGCCTTATGTTTGTCAGCCTTGATATAGATTATATATAATATATTTTGTTTATAAGAGAATTGAATAGCAAACAGCTGTCATACGGAGTAAAGATTTACCCCACGCTGCTTGAAGCCCCGCCCCCCCCGTCAATGCAGATTCACTGGTTCACTTTGATCCATGGAGTTAATTTTACCTCCCTGGCTGCCAGCCCGCAATATGTCATCCTAATTCTGTCGGCGGTTCAACCAGGAAACTCTAAATGGAATTTAATTCTGGAGACACTTCAGGTCCAACGGTGTCTCACTGTCCATTCATGTGAACACGTCTTCCGGCTGCGGGGCCGTCTCTCACAGATAAGATAAGCTAAAAGGCCTCTCGTTTGTTTCTTACAACTTTCAAATCTTTTTTGGACATGAATCTTAACGGCCCGATTATAAACGCCGCCCCCTGTCTGCCGCCGCTCAACGATCGCTCACTCTCGGTATCTGTTGACACTTCGCTCTCACGTCACTTTATGAGACACCTTGAGGTGGTTACCTGAGAGAAATCAAGATATAAAAGAGTAATGAGGTTACATGGGAGCTCTTAAAAAACTGCCAACTGTGTAAATAGAGAATAAAAAGAGGGGAAAATGAGAGTAAGTGGCCGATTAGTCCGAGTCCGAACGTCATGAGAGTCACCTCTTAGGACGCTGCAAAACAATCGTTCTCAAATGTCGGCGCCACAGTTCACCTGTATCTCTCACCTGTTCTGACCTCGTTTATTTCTTACAGAGCACTTTTCAATTTTATTCCTCCGTTTTATTCACATGTTTTTAGATGATTAGAAATGGACTCTGATGTGTGACTGGTGCTGTTTAACTCTGACTAACTCTACGCTTACAGATACTGTTATTTCCATAGTCGATGACAGGAGTCAGGCATATATTTTTGGACTGGTTTACTGGTCATTTTCTCCGCAAAATGACTTGATCATTCTCTCATTTCAAGTCATTTCTATAAAGTTTGTGATGTAATGTGCTGATTTAAAAACTAAAACTATTTCATTAAAAATCAAGCAGAGGTAAAAGACAAACCAGAATAATTGTACAGATAAACAGACAATTCTGGAGGAGGTAAAACTGTGCAGCTCTGTCGACAGGTGCAGCTGATTTTAAGAGCCAGCTGTGACAACTGTTGAACTGTGTAATTAGGCCAATATCACATCACATTGGGAGGGCAATCCCTTCCACACGCCCACACGGTGTCTGCAGGTTCACTCCTGCAAGCTGGTGTGGTTAGAGAAAAAAGTCATGGAGGAAAATAATAGAATTAAACGCAGCTCATTTTAAGTATTTTGTTAAAAAATATATAGAATAAAAACTTTTTTTTCCCTCTACTCTATAGTGTTAGCAGTGTGTTTTGTTCATTCATAACTTGGTGACTAATATGTCTTCAGTCAGACCAGGTTCCTAACAGGTAGACGCCTCAGAGCGGGAACACTCCTTCACAGGAAATTACCCTCCTTTTCTGTGTGCAGCCATTTCCACCGTAGCTGCATATTGATTTGAACAGAGACCAGATCACACAGATGAGACGGCTGTGGCTGGAATACACCCACACACACACATATATATATATATATATACTATATATATATATATACTATATATATATATTTACATATATATAAATATATATATGTATATATAAATATACACACACACACATATATATATATATATATATATATTTACATATATATAAATATGTATATGTATATATAAATATATATGTAAATATATATACACACACACATATGTATATATGTACATATATACACCCACACATATATGTACATATATGTACATATATAAATATATATATACATATATAAATATATATGTACATATATACATATATATGTATTATATACATATATATGCATACATATATATATGTATATATGTATGTATACACATTAGGGCTAGGCGATATCTCAATATTTCAATATATATCAATATATTTCTAGACAAGACATAATACGAGAAGATATATTGTAACGATATAGTTCAGTTTGAGTTGAAATGACGATACTTTTAGTCCAGCCCTAATACATGTGTGTGTGTGGGGGGGGGGGTTAATGCATATGTATGTATTTATATACTTGTATATATATGCATATATCTACATAAATACACATATACATATAAGCATATATGGTATACATACTGTATATACACTTATGTATACATACATGTGTGTATATTTACACATATAAATATATATTTTTATATATTTTCCATATATGCAAATACACAGCACAGGCAAATACATATTTACATTTATCATAAATATGCATGTATGTATAGATTATATATTGTATGAATCCACAATATATGTATGTATATAAACATATATGTATATATGTACAGTATATATCTGTGTGTATATTTAATTTAATTTTCTATAATACTGACACATCACCATGATGGAGGACAACTGGTGATTTTACTATGACTCGCAGCCGGTGACAGTGTGGAGTCACCGACGACAGCTCTGACATTCATATTTCTATTTTCTCCTAAATGTAATTATTCCCACAAACTACAGAGGGAATTAATATTCCTGACGTCCATTCTCACAAGTATTAATACTGGCTCCCTGTCTCACCACGAGGGGAAAAAATGTCGCTTTCATTCATTATCTACGGATGCCTGAGGAGAGACACCGTGAAAACGGGCGTACAAATTCCTCCTGCACCGTCAAACACAAAACACAGTCGCTTTTCCTGCTGCTACGTCGCGAGCGCTGTGTGCGCGTGAATATATTACATTTGGACTCGACCCACGGAAACAGGCTGTATGTCTCAGAATGGTGTTTCACATATGGGTGTGATGAATTGTGTTGACAAGGATATAGAAATAAATAATAAATAAGCAGCCAGTTCAAGTCTGTCTCCACTCGCTTGATCTCTCATATCTAGGTTTCTAAGTGGCACAGGTAGCCAGTATTCGCCACGCTAAGGCGTAGCCGCCCTGATTTCGCCCCGTTTCTCGGACACAGGCTATCGGCCAGTCTGTCGCTGCTACCTGTTAATCCCCGCCCCGGCTCCGGCTCCAGCTCCAGCTCCGGCTCCGGCTCCGGCACTTCCTCCGGCAGGAGCTCCGTTGCTCGGCTTGGTGAGCTGTCCAGAGTCCGCTGGTGCTGAAATGGAAGACGGAGCCCCCGATGCAGGGACGGCGGGTCCGGCCTGTCCCGCCTGTCCCTCCCCTTCCATGCTCGCCTCGTTGCCCATGGCCTCGGTGTAGGTGGGCACGGAGAGAACGGCTGTAGAGAGCGGTGGTACAGCTGTTGAACAAACTCGGGTGAAACTCAGAGCTGCTCCCCTTCCGCCATCATCACCTACAATTTAGCATCCTGCACTGAGCACGCGCGCTGACGCAGTGGGCGGGACCTCGGCTTGCTCGTACGTGCGCGTTCACGCTGCTCGGTTTTTTTTTCTCTCTCTCTCTCAATTCAGCGCCGACGCAGATATGGTTGAGCAGTAATGGGCTCCACTGGGACCATGACTGGGGCCGCACCGAGTCTTCGGTTCGTTTTTAAAGAAAATAGTTGCTCTTTTTTGGCAAATATGAATGTTTTTGAAGTAGAATTGTATTTGACAAAGTACGAACGACCAGTAGAAACAAGACATACATTAATGAAATGGTAATGTTTTTGAAGTAGAATTGTATTTGATAAAGTACGAACGACCAGTAGAAGCAAGATATACATTAATGAAATGGCGGGATTTTAATCACAGTTTGACCAAATATAATAGAATAATATTATACCACACACAGTAATAAATTATCTACATATCTCAGAATATATATTTATATGTATATATATTTATACACGCACATATATATTTATTTATTTAATTCCGGTGTTTTTTTTAACCCAACTGTAGCAGTTTATATTTGTGGCAACACAATTCCATTTTGAAGAATAGGATTCTAATTTATTGTGACATGCATGTCTTCACCTCTCAAACACTTACTGTATACAGTAGCTAATACACCATCATTAGGTGCTCTCCCTAGTGGACATTAAATGCTACTACAATAACACTTCCCGATCACGTCTCTTCGGACAATAACACTTCCCGATCACGTCTCTTAGGCCATAGAGTAATGGTTTTTTTTAAATGCTATTTGAAAAACAGACTAGGAAACAAAGATGTCAATGATTTGTTTTTTTTTCCACTGACTTTATTTTAGTAAGAAATGGCGAGCACTAACAGAAACTGAATTATTTATACAAAGAAGCCAATTAACAGACACGTATGTACAAAATAAACAGATGCACGCGTCCACTCTTGACATCCAATCACTCCCAGATCAGCATCGAGTACAAAAATAAACACAAGAGCTTGTTTCTCATCGGAAAAAACCCCAGAGACGCACAGACGTAACCACTGAAGTCGATCAGAGAAAAAGAGAGGGAAGAAAAAAAACAAACAAAAAAAAAAACAAGTCGTGTCACCATTTGTTTCTGATATAAAAGCTATGAACTACGAACGAAGTGTGTGATTTGTCCAAACACCTAATACTTTGTTGGCACCGTGACAACATGAGTGTAAGACAGAGGTCATGAGGATGAACGTGACACATGACTGACGATGACATCCTCCAGAGAAGATCTTCACTTAAAAAGTCGTCCGCAGCTTCACTGACGACACGTCTTTGTTCGTAAATACAAACTGTAGAGGGCGCTGACACATGATGGGAATTCACAGTAACTCTAAAGTGTTGACGTTGGTTTTAAATATTTACATGGAGATAAAAATCAACTACGCCTTTTGTTTTCCGGTAAAACCGAAGTAAATGCAAGACTAAACTATCTGTTTGAATTTGCAGCAGCTTCTTTTTTTTTTTTCTACTGATTGTTGGTGATCATTGTCGTTTGGCTTTGTAAGGACGGGAGCGTTTCCTGCGATCCGGCTTCCTTTGTTTGTGCAAGCGACCGATGCTAACGCCCTGTCGACGTCGCACTGAAATGTTTTGCTCTACAAGGCTAGCCAACATTCCTGCAGAAAAGGAGAACGTGTCATTAGTGCACGACAAATCCTTTATAGACAACTACGTGTTTTTGGAATTTGTGTTAAAATCAAGTTCACAAAATTGACAGAAAATGACATTGGGAATTTTTCCACCCATTAATTATGTATTTTTTTTAATAATGTTACTTTGTGCAAATATGTAGATGAATAATTAATCGGTTATTTTAACTTTACCTTCTTGGGCCAGCATTGAAATAAAGGTGCAGATGAACTCGTCATAGTTATGAGTCCTCCTCTGATCATCAATCTGGAAAAAAAAAACATCACCATAAAAATAACAGTGAGAAGATTTTTTTTATTTTCCATAAAAATAACAGTGAGAAGATTTTTCTTTTGTATTAATGTCATGAAAACCAAACCTACTTTGTATTTCTTTCTCTTCTCCACTTCTTCTTTCAGATACACTTCATAATTGGCGATATCTGCCTCCACACACTTGAGAAGTGCCAGCAGCTCCTGCAGGAGACAAACTGAGATCAATTCTCTGCTTTTGCTTTTTGTACTGTATATTTTTAGTGGACAGCTTTTTCCTAATTAGAGGAGGGGAGCGTAGATTAAGACAAAAAACATCCTGGCAGGCAGAGCAAAACAAAAGTACATAAGACAGTATACAAATATATACACACAAATACTGTGAGGTGTTTCTGGACGTACTTTTGGTGAATATTTATCTCCTGGGGGTTTGCTGCCAGCAGCAGTTTCTGTAGCGTTGAGTTTTTCCTTGCTGGGTTTCACCTCCGTTCCCTCTTTGCTCTCCTCCTCCTTCACCTTCACCTCCGCAGACGGACCAGCATCAGCCTCCTTCTCTGCCTCCTTCCCTCCTGCTGCCGCTCCTGCCTGCTCCTCTTCTTTGACCTTCTCTGGAGTACCAGGCAGCTTCGTGCCATCGGCCGCCAGATCTGCAAAGGTAAATTATACAAACACAAATGGCATTTGAAGGAAAACAAATGGTTGAAATTCCCATTTGACACCTGTGATCATGTGACTGACCAGAGGGAGGGAGAGCGTATATGACACCATCCTCCTGCAGTTTTAACAAAGCCATGCTGACAGACGGACCCAGCTCTCTGACGGCGCGGTTGTGTCTGGAGTCGAGCCTGAGCATCTCGTCTTCTCCGAACAGCACCCGGGACAAATGTGAGGCAACCGGGCTGGACGGGCGCGTGGCGGCCTGGGATCGGGCGGGCGACCTGAGGGGAGAGTTGAAGGCACTGCCGATTTCAGACGCCGTGTCGGTGCTTTCGTTGCTGGGTGTGGGTGAGGGCTGGGATGCAGACGTTATGCAGATGCCTCCGGTGCGGCCCTCGGTGCGCACAGACAGCGGCGTGTTGAGGGCGTCTTTCTTCTGGGCCTCTTTCTTCAGTTTCTCTGCCAACACACTCAAGGCTATCTGGCTTTCCATTCCAGTCACAACTCGACCTGGACGGGAACGCAGACTTGCCTTCCGTCTAAATCTAAACACAAATAAATAATTGATAAGTTGAAAATATTAGATGTCTCTAAATTAACTCTTTGACAGTGAGAAATCACTGGCTTCTGTCGCTCTGTAATCACTCTCTAAACACACAACTTTCTTGGCAAAACTTCCTTAAAACCTGGACAGGAGACTGACCGGCTAGAGGTGCTGGCAGGACTAGTGACCACTTCCTCCTCCTCATCCTCATAGTCGTCTTCATCATCTGAGAATGGTGGCTGAGGGGGGCCCGACACACGAGTGCGTCCAACTCCTGCAGCAAGATCCTCTTCTTCCTGGGAAATAAAAATCAGTTTTGGGGTCAACAAAACACAAAAGCAGAGACATTTGTGGGTTCTAAAAATGATGGGGTAAAGCAGAGACAATTGTGGGTTCTAAAAGATCGGGAGAAAGAAGAGGAGAGAAATGGAAACTATCCAACATAAAAAGCGATCGCTGACCTGCATTGGAGACTTGGCGTAGTTGTGATTGTCCAGAAACGCAGGCAGGCGCTGAACGATGGGGTTGGGGCTGGTGACCGACGGTGGAGCTCCTCCTGCTGGGACCGCTGGTTTCCCCATGACCTTGGCGTTTCCTGAGGGTGTGGGAGCGTCCTTGGATTGATTCCCTGTTTCATCCACCGAGTCTGAAACAAAAGCCGTGGTGTTTGTTTGTGAGTCCTGTTGATCAACAGTTGATCCACCGTCAACAATGAACTCTCCGTACCTGAAGAAGCCGGATCTGCCGTCTGAGAAGTGATTGGCTCTGCCTCCGCCTCCTTCTTGACCGCTGTAGCGCCTTCGTCCGGGGATGATGAGCCCTGCTGCTTCTTGTCATGGACGAGCTCTGGTTGGGTGAGTCTGATCATCTGAGGTCATGAAAGAAGATTGATGCCCAAAATAATTTGACAAGGAAAAGGCAACACGAAACTTTGTTTTTTTTTAATGTCTTTTAATCAATTACTGTGAGAACTGAGTTGTGATTTGTCACTAATTAAATGTTCCACCGGTGCTTTACCTTCTGTAGACCTTCCAGAACCGTCTGTCGATTCTTCTTTAGTATCTCCAGTTTGGACTCGTACTTCACTCTGCGGTCCGGCACCACAGCCATCAGGTTAAAGCGAATGTCATGGTACGGTTCACTGTAAGACAGAAAAGGCACGAGTTTTAAACTACACCTTAAATGTGTGTTAAGGAAGAGAACAGTGGAGTTAGGATTTACCCAGCGGTGGCCAAACCGATCCGCTCCATAATAACACGCCGAGCTTTGTCAGTCCACTCTTCCTCTTCTCCCCAAGGTCCTAAAATGTTGTTTGTGTATGGGTTTTTTTTACTTTAATGGAAAAAAGTTTTTGAAAGTGATAAATTTTAAACGCCAGTGTGAACCTTACCATGGTCAATGGGATAAGCCTTGAGCCCATCGAGCTCAAAGAGTCGGTCTTTGATGGGCACATAACTCACAAAGTGGAACGCCTCCATGGTCCGCACTGCGCTAATTCCATTCTGTTTCTCCGGAAGGTGCCTGGGCTCGGGGCTACGTAAAAATACGGAAAGACATTTTATATGATTGATGAATACACGGCAGCATGTATATTAAAGAGAGAAGTGGGTGAAAGTGACTCACCGGGCATGGCTGTTGTGTGCTCTGGCGAGTTCCGGGGCATTTCCGATTGCATAACCTTTACTCTGTAAACACAGCAACATAAAAGTCAAGAGTGAGAGACGGAGAAGGTGAGGGGGAAAAGAAACACAAAGATTCTGGTCACTTTCAGCAGCTGTGACTGAAAAGGCAATTCATGATGGAAAAACTTTGACTTTATACAGATATACAGCACCGAACCCTATCTTTAGTATTCACTCTCCTGAATATTGTACATTTTATATATTTGACTTTGTACATTCAACCATATTCTGATATCTATCAGTGAAGAACACAGTGAGGGACTGAAGCACAAATGTTTATGTTCATCAAATTACTATTAATTTGTGTGGTTTTGTAATGTAGCGGTTATCACGCCTGCCTTACACAGAGAAGGTACTGGGTTCAAGCCCAAGAGAAACCACATACTCAATGGCGCAAAAACACATAAATAAACAGCTGTGAAAAAAGAAGCACATTTCGGTGATCAGAAATCCTAGAAAAGTGTCAGTGTGAAAAAGAAACCACTCACTTCTGGACTGAAGCCTTTGGTAAAAGCTTTCATGCGACTGAGAGTTGTGCCGAGCTCGACACCACTGCAGTTCAACAGCACGCTCAACAACGCATGTGTGGCACAGGAATTTGGTATCAACTGTCAAAACAGTCAGAACAACAACAGAACAAACACCGAACGAGTCCAAGTTAATTAAACAAACGGAAAAACATGATCACAGTTCAATCCTAGGTATGTCATCAATCACACTCTTTTCATCTGTAATCACAGAATCTGACCTGATGTGCAAAGAACATGTCGTTTACGATTTCCTCGTCGATGACGGAGGTTTCATCCACCAAAGTGTTAACTTTCCTCCTGGATCGACGTTCCTCGATCCATTTGAACAGGAAGATGAAGCCATAGACTGGACTGAAAAATCAAACTTCACCCATTATTTTCCTGGACATGAACTTGAACATTTACTTAAATACACTAACTTTACTACCTTGGACACTTGCTTTGAAGATCATATATTTCTTCTACTTGGACTCCTTTGACACCTGCAAGAGGCAGAAGGACAAACATTTACTGTCTCGGTCTCATTTATCACAGATACAAAAAAATTAAATTTTTAAATTTGGAATGTATTATTTAAACCAAAAGCTTTATGAAATCATTATTATTTAACACACACTGCCACTTTAAGAGTGTTACGACACTCACCAAAATCTTCCACCAGCAGAGTGAACAACCCTAAAATGATAAAAACAGTAGTTAATCCATCAGAAAAAAACCAAACACTTTTTATCAATATCACGTTTCACTGAAGTTGCTTTCTGGATTCAGACAGTCAATCTGATTATGAGACTACAGTGTCTTCATGGGTGAGCTAGCGTCTCTTAGCTGGGTTCTGTCCGTCGGCAGCTCTTACCTGGATCACTCTCCAGCTCCAGCCAGCCTTTGTTCATCTTTGCACGCGTGCACAGATGGTCGATTTTAAGATGTGCTCCAGTCCATGTCAAACGTAGAATTCGCTGACTTTAACGACGATGACGCGTCCATTCATGAGACGTCTGAGAGCTAAACATAAACACAATAGATAGAGCTCGGCGCCTACGAATACGTCATCAAGATGCGACCAGGGTCGGTCCCACGGTCCGGGTCCAGCTTCCTGTCGTCACAACTTCAAAAACAAAACATGCACTTTTGTTGTTAATTGTAGGTAGGATTATCTGTTAAAAAGGGTTATTTACTTTAGGTTTAACATTGTGAAAGGAATTATGTAAATTTAGGCAACCAACCACGAGTCATGGCTGAAAATAATAAAACGTAACCCCCCACGAGTCATGGCTGAAAATAATAAAACATAAACCTGCACAACCGCAGCCTGCTATGTATATGCACTGAAACAAGAATAAAAACTGTGCGAGTTCATAACTTTTATTTAGAAACATATATTTATTCAGCCAATTAGTCATTCATATCTACTGCGGCTTTATCGCGACCATACTGTAAGGAATCACAACAACAAAAATCCATTGTTTTGGTGAAGTTTGTACTATAAATACTGTAAGGAATCACAACAACAAAAACCCATTGTTTTGGTGAAGTTTGTACTGAAACATCTCATCTCTGCTTAATGTGTAGGATTTTAGTAAACATGTTCTGCAGCAGAGCCATATATATGTTGGAACACTGGAAAAAAATAAAGAATTTGTGCAATTCAAACTAAGAATGAACTAAGAAATACAGAAAAATATTCAGATTTAAATTAATTTGACATCTGACGTCTCATCCTGCAACATCTTGACGCCTCCTAGGGGGGGCTACCCTCCACTTTGGGAACAACTAATCTTAAGTAATTTTTTTTTTAGTGTAAGAAATTAGATAGATCTTGTGTTTAGTGTAATTTACCAGCATTTGGTGATTTTGCAAATAGAGGCAGATGTAGATAGCAGCTGGCTGAGGACCAGTGATAGGGGTTTGGAAATGGGAAATGGATGAATCCAGGATTTAGTTTAATTCAAATTTACCAGACCTGATTGACATAAAACTTTACCTTTACTTATTAGTCACTAGCAAGAAGTGATAGAGAAGTCTTTGATCCTTTCATATGGGTAAAACAGAGTGGGGATAAACTTCTTTTTGAATGGCGAAGAAAAGAGGTTCAGAAGAGAATAAATTACAGCACAAAGTAAAGGAAGAGCTCCCTGCGTTAAAGTATGAACATGTTTTCGTTTCCTAATCTTACGTATTGCCTGTGACATGTTAAGGTCATTATCGTCATAGTGATGTTGTACAACAGCTTGAGATGCAAAAAAATTTTTTTTTAAAAAGTTTTCGATTTTGTTTTGTTGATGTATTTTCAAACCACCAACGTTACTGAAACGGCATTTGTGTCCATTTGTGCCCCGGTCGACTTTTCGACCCCGGAACCTTAACTGCAAAAGCACGGGGAAAGTATTTGTGGTTACACTGGAAAATGGAAAAATTAGACCAGTTTTTTCAGTTCATTTACATAAACTGACGCTAGGCTTAAATTTATGTACCGCTGAAAGCGCCGTATTTACATCCACGGAGAAGCTAGGCGCAAAATAAAGGGTGAGTTGGACGTGGAGGCCACTGTGAGGGTTTAAATGATGTGTCCCAGTTAGCCATGTTTCAGATTAGCATTAGCAATGTGAACCATCCAGTCAGAGAAAATTAGATTGTTATCTTTCTGAGACTGCACACCCGACAGCCTTATTCGTCGAGGGAATTCGTGGTTTCCACCAGGTGCCACCTATAACCAGTCGCCCCGGTTAGCCGTGGCAGATGATGGGCACAGGATCTTACGAGGTTTCGACGTTTGAAATTGCGTTTATTGTGTAAGTAGCTAGCGTTGTGTTGTTGCTGACTCAGCTAAAGAAACAATACTAATTTATTCACATCCTTTCACCCGTGCCTCGTAGACTCTAAACTCTGGTCTGGTTGACAAAAACAAAGCCCGCTGGGGGCAGGGACAGGTGCAGCTTTGTGCCTCCTGGTAGGAGCCTCCATCTTCGGCCATTGGAGTCAAAATCCTTCATGGGTCGCTACATGTTTACCTTTACGTTTGTTGTACGTTTGTCTTGGTTTAGCTCCGGGCCAGCATTGGACATTTAAAACACACATAACATAACAGCTTAACAACACACAGCTACAACACTTTATTGAATAACAAACTTTTTATGCTTCTCAGATTTTATATAGAGTCTTTGTGTTTCTTTTATATAAATTCACGTTTGATTAATGGACAAAACATTACCGAAGTAATGTTTTTAAACTACCGGTGTCTGAGGTTTATTTTTTAAGATCAACTTTAGTTCGAGACTGTAAAGGTCGTTCAGATTAAACATCAATCTTGGCTGAATTATGCCGTAGACATAAACCATAGTGGTTTGGACATTTATTCATACGTTATAAATGCACTAGTGATTACTATTCTTTACAACTAGTTAGTTATGCAGTTTTTACATTTTACCGTTGTCTTAATTTATTTATCCTTGTTTTGTTACTTTTTACTGCTTCTGTTTACTGCTCCTCATTAAACTTGTATTAATATTATTCATAATTAACTTAACGATTAGTCAATTTGATCATAAAAACTTATGGGTTTTTTTTCCAGGGCTCCTAATGGAAATGTGTAGGTAATACTTTGTGCTAGACGCCATGTCTGAAGAGGCGATTTCAGAGAGTGACCTGGAGGAGAGCCTTAACAGTGAGGATGAACGTTTCAATGAAGATGAAAAAGAGGAAGACAATGAAGACCAGGAGGACGATGAAGATGAAAATGATGGAGATGATGAAGATGATGGAGTTGGTAAGTGTCATAAGTTTTTTCATAAGAACAATAAGGATTGTTCACTTGTAGTGTTCTTCATAAGTTATCGCTCAAGTAGTTATTTTAAGACTTGACCCAAATTGCTGTGTCTTATCCCTTCAGATCGACCCACCAGTGCCCAGGATGGCAGGGATTCCCCCTCAGCTACCTCTGAAGAGACTTCATCTCAGCCTCCATCACGACCGACATCCCGTCCGTCCTCTGAGGCACCCTCCAGACCCGCCTCTGGCTCTCAGCCCACGAACAGCCCAGAGAGCTTAAACCAGAAGAAACGCCATTCGGGCAAAGCCAAGAAACAAAAGGGTTATAAATTAACCAAATCATCCAGGTCTTCAAAAAGTCCCAACCCATCCAAACCTACACACATGAGGAAAAATATCAGGTACTTCACATTTTTAGATGATTTTATTTTTGTTGGGTAATCAGGTTTTTTTTCTTATCATTTGATGGTTGTTAACGTCACTGCGGGTTGTGCTCATCGTCAAAATGCTGATATTTATTTTAAAAATGAAAAGAAGGATAGGACTGCAGATAAAAAGAGAACATAGTGACACCGTATCAAGACCATGCAGATCAAAGGCTACCAGGAAGTACAAGCGCTGGAATCTTTGAATCCTTTTGATAAAAGGGGGCAGTCCTCATATCTTCTTGTTGGATGGATTGTCTCTTATTAGGAGTATCCTTGGACAGTGACCACTCTCTGCGTTAATATAATATAATGTGCCCCCCTTCTTCAAAATCACATCAGTGAAAAGACTTCATTAGCTTAGCATTTATTAGGTACCAGCAAAAAGAAGAGCATAAATAAGAGAGACGATTATGGAAGTTTGCAACATTGTGGATGTCACTCGTATTCTAACGGCAATGTAAGAAAAAATATTGTGAAAAAAAACTGTTTTTAGATGAACATGTGTCTAAGAAACTGCTTTTTATTTATTTATTTTTTTTATAGAAAACTGCTGAAGGATGATCAGCTGGAGGCTGGGACTAAAGCTGCTCAACAGGAGGAGATGGAGAGGCGTAAACGTCTGGAGCAGCAGAGAAAGGACTTCCCCACACCAGCCCCGCCTGTTCCTGACCCTCAGCTCGGTGACTACTGTCTTCAGTCTGCAGTTATTGATTTGTTTATTCCCTCGTGCACATCTTTGGATCTCAGTTCTGACAAACTCCACCTCTCGATTCTACCGACAGTGGACACTGCCTCAATCTTGGGTGAAGTTTCCCGTTTGGTCCCCGGTTTCCTGGCCAAGCAGGACGTCATCTGTCTGGACAGTAGTGGTGATGAAGAGGAAAAAGTGGAGCCCAAATTGCCTGCTCTTGATATCAGAGATGGTAAAATGTTTGAGACTTTAACGCCACTTTGATCAACTCTTATCTCTGACTTTTTCAACAGTGTGAGAAGTTAAAAACATTCTCTCACAGAGCATCTGTTTCACTCATCCTCACCCAGATATAATAGAGCTAAGTTCTGGTGACGAGGGCACGCTGCAGATCAGCAGTGAGTCGGCGGATGAGGAGGTGGAGACGGAGGAGGGCAGCGGGGCACACATCAACAACGCTCTGAACCTGCCTGATGCCCAGGGTCGGGTGTTGGTCAACATCAACCACCCTGCAGAGGAAAAGGACATTTTTCTTGCCCCACAGCTGGCCAGGGCGGTCAAACCTCACCAGGTAAAACACCACCTCTCTGAGGTGCTTTGAATCTAACCATTAAAAGAAAACCCTCCATTTTGTTACAAACAGTTTTCATCTCACAGGTCGGTGGAATCCGGTTTCTCTACGATAACCTCATCGAGTCTCTGGAGCGTTACAAAACCAGCAGCGGCTTTGGCTGCATCCTGGCTCACAGCATGGGTTTAGGGAAAACACTGCAGGTCATCTCCTTCATCGACATTCTTCTGAGGAATACTGAGGCCCACACTGTGCTGGCCATCGCTCCAGTGAGTGGTCCCATAGTCAAGTCAATAATTTGGTCGTGCAGCTGAAACTTTTTTTTTTCAGTGGACAAGAAAATAACTACATTAATGTTAAGTTTTTATGTCAATGATTTATTTTTTCTTTTCCTTATACCAGGTGAACACTCTCCAGAACTGGCTGACGGAGTTTAACCTCTGGATCCCCCCTCAGGAATCCTTCTCCCCTGACACCGACCCCACGCTAGTCTCTGGGCGCACGTTCAAAGTTCACATTCTCAACGATGAGCACAAGTACGACGTCTGAACCACAATGCATGCATGTGATTTCAATGTTAAAAACCGCATCAGTTATGAACAGCTACAGCTCTGTATCACCTGCAGAACTACACTGGCCAGAGCCAAGGTGGTGGAGGAATGGTCCAGAGACGGAGGCGTGTTGCTAATGGGTTATGAGATGTACCGTCTGCTGTCCATGAAGAAGAGTTTTGTTATGGGAAAGAAGAGGAAGTCGAAGAAGCCGACTGGACCAATCATCATTGACCTGGATGAAGAAGACAGACAGCAGGAACTCATGCAAGGTCACCAGAAACCATTCCTTCACTGGAGGCATAAATAAATGGTCTGTCGGCCTCGGAAATGAAAGTGGAGCTCAACAACTTACTGTTCTTCGGTGCCTTTTTTTTTTTTTTTTTTTTTTCAGGTATCGAAAAGGCAATTGTACGACCCGGCCCAGACGTGGTGATCTGTGATGAGGGCCATCGCATCAAGAACTACCACGCCAGCACATCACAGGCCCTGAAGAACATCCGCTCCCGCCGAAGAGTGGTTCTGACAGGTTACCCGCTCCAGAACAACCTCATCGAGTACTGGTGCATGGTGGACTTTGTCAGACCCGACTTTTTAGGCACACGTCAGGAGTTCAGCAACATGTTCGAGCGCCCAATTTTGAACGGACAGTGCGTGGACAGCACGCCTCAGGACGTTCGCCTCATGCGCTACCGTAGCCACGTCCTGCACAGCCTCCTGGAGGGTTTTGTCCAGAGGTGTTTTTTCTGCCTGCCAACAGAAGAAGAAGAAGAAGAAGATTGTTATTAATGTTTCATTTTCTCACACATCTGTTTTTTGTTTTACAGGCGTGGCCATGATGTGCTGCGGAACCAGCTTCCTTTTAAAGATGAATATGTCATCATGGTGCGACTTTCTCCCATACAGAGGGCGCTCTACACCGAGTTCATGAGGCGCTTCAGAGAAGCAGGAAACAGCGGCTGGTTGGGTCTGAACCCGCTCAAGGCCTTCTGTGTTTGCTGCAAGATCTGGAATCACCCAGATGTGCTTTACGAAACACTGAAAAAGGAGAATCAGGCCAATGAGCAGGACCTGGACCTGGATGACATCACCTCAGCCAGTAACGCCCGCTGTCCTGCTCCCGGTGCTGGACTCAAACCTAAAGTAGAGTCCAGCAACAGCAAAGTCAACAACACGTTACCAGCGCTCAATCCGTCCCAGGACAAAGCCAATCAAGTCATCACATATGAATGGGTATGTGATTTATCACAGTAATAACTATAAACTACAACTGTACCTCCAATGTTCTTACTTGTTTTAATTTACTTCATTTCAGGCGAGAGACGTCATGTTGAACTACCGGACAGGTCTGCTCCAGAACTCGGCCAAGATGGTTCTGCTGTTCCATTTGATTGATGAGAGTGTGAAGAGGAAAGATAAGATGTTGATCTTCAGGTACATTCTCTTCATGGTCTTTATCTTATTGGACACGTTCTACTACGGCGCAGGTGGAGATGTGACTGTGTATTTTATGGTGATAGTGAACCATTAAGTTTGTCCTTTTTCTGAGTCTATTCTAGATCTATGACCGTCTGTAGTTCATGGTTTATTCTACATTAATACAAAATATATATAATCATACATACGTGACAGAAATTCACTTGATAACACACCATTGTTCTGCTTGTGTTTCATCCTCCAGTCAAAGTTTGTCGACGCTGACAGTCATCGAAGATTTCCTGTCAAAGAGACCAATGCCAGCAGAGGTCGCCGCCTCCTCCTCCCACCACAACCAGACCTGGGTTCGCAACGTCAACTACTTCAGTGAGTCACCAAATCTCTACTGTTCATGTAAAAACAGCAGCTAAATAGACTAGACTACTATAGTATTACTGCGATTTACAACTACATTTTGATTTTTAAGTTTGAGCAGTTTCTTGGTGTGAAGTGACAGTTTAAATCTGTCTGCAGGATTGGATGGAAGTACGTCTGCCACAGAGAGAGAACGACTCATCAATCAGTTCAACGACCCCGAGAATGTCACGACCTGGGTCTTCCTGCTGTCCACCAGGTCTGGTTCTCTGTCCACGGTTCCTTCACGTCTCGTCTCGTCTCACTCCTCCTGTAAATGAATCAGTGCTGAATCTTGTCACTGTCTTGTAGAGCGGGCTGCCTGGGCGTGAATCTAATTGGTGCCAACCGTGTAGTGGTGTTCGATGCCTCCTGGAACCCCTGCCACGACGCCCAGGCCGTGTGTAGAGTTTACCGATATGGCCAGAAGAAGCCGTGCTACATTTACCGCCTGGTCTGTGATTTCACCTTGGAGAAGAAAATCTATGACCGACAGGTCTCCAAACAAGGGATGTCTGGTAAGAAAAATTGACATCAGGGATGTCCGATATTAATATTTAATTGACATCAGGGATGTCCGATATTAAGGGCCGCGTAATATTTATTTATTTATCTGTACAAACCACTGTTTGAGTTTCTGGCTCCAGCATTCTGCCTACAATCCCCTGATTATTAAAATAGATTAATAAAATGAGTTGCAATGCTGCCATCTAGTGGCTTTAACTTTCATATACAGCCGTTTTTCCCAAAAACGATATTTATGGCACACATCATCTGGCGAAACACAGGCATTGCCTTATCGGGTTTTCATTATCAGAGAAAAAAACAATAACGATTCTTACAGATATTACATAATTATGCTTGACAAGATTGACAGGATCATCTTACATCAGGGGTCAACTTTTAGGTACCACGTTGGTGACCCTTGTCTTACTTCCTTATAAAAGACCAAAGAGGATCTAATCACACTAATTACGAGGTCTTTATCATCTCTTGAAGATCGTGTCGTCGATGATCTGAACCCGGTGCTGAACTTCACTCGCAAAGAAGTGGAGTCGTTGCTACACTTCGTGGAGGAGGAGCCTGAAGCTGAAAAACGCAATCGGGAATCCTCCGACGACTTCGAGACAGTGATATACAACGCATGTCAGCTGTACCCGCACCTCATCACCAAGGTAGTTTGGTTTCCAAACGCATCGCACACGATTGAAGACAACTTTGTGTGGCTTTCAGCCCAGTCTCTCCTCGTCTCTGTGACCCTGGTCGGCTGTGACGATACCTTTGTCCTTCATCTGTCAACAGCTACCGTTCCAACACGAGTCTCTGCTGGTGGATCGAAAGGAGTCGAAACTGACCAAAGCGGAGAAAAGAGCCGCCAAGAAGGGCTACGAGGATGAAAAACGAGCCTCCGTGCCATACTCCCGCCCGTCATACGCACCCTATTATCCAACCGGTGACCAGGTGCTGACAAACATACCAGCGTTCAACCAACGAGGCTGGTAGGTCCACGGCCGTGTGTTTGATTTCACAGGCTAACAGTTTAGCTCTCATGCTCTTACTTTACCAGATAATGTCATTTCATAAATATGATAAGTGTAAGGTTTTGGTTTTAAATGATTGGTTTGATTTTTTTTCATAAATGCTGCTCCTTATATTTCCAGGCGTCCCATGGTGAGGGCCGATGATAAGCCTGTGGCCAGCGTCAGGCCCATCCTGTCCACCCCGATACCTATGCTGCCTCGCCAGGTTGGCATGGGTATTGCTGGCTCCACCCCCGCCAGTGGCCTTCCTGTCAACTTCCTGCAGAAAGCTGGAGTCTCTGTCCAGAGGGTTGTCACTACAACTGGTAGCGTATGAACTTGGATTTCTGTGCGTTTTTAAAAACCCAGTTGAAAACCTTCAGTAACGTCTGTGTTCCGTCTGCACCTGCAGATATTGTTTTCCCAGGAATCAACAGCACGGTTGATGTTCAAGCTCGGATCAGTGCAGGAGAGAGCATCCACGTGATCCGAGGATCCAAAGGTACAGGCAGCAACAACATCAACATGGTTTTGGATATCGTGTTGAAGTAAACGCTTCCAACACTTGTTCTGGTTCTGTTTTCACTGCAGGTACTTACATCAGGACAAATGACGGAAGGATCTTTGCTGTGAGATCAGGAAAGCTTAGCCGTCCAGTAGTCGGTGGTTCCACTGCTTCAGGAGGTAAACATTAATATTAATGCACCCATACAAGTACTTCATACTTCATTCAAATACTCCTACTTCTCATATTTGAAATAATCTGTGGACGAAGCATCCTGAACCAA